GATCCAAATACCTTCAGATAACTCAAGTTAGGCTTGACACCAGACCAACATTCTTCTGGCATGATTCCTTCTAGCTTCTTTGTTATACATCTATTCAAGATGAATGTTGTAGTTGACACAACTTGTCCCCATAATTACTTAGGTAGATAACTGTCTTGTTGCGGTGAGAATTGAATATCAAGCTATTGATTAACTTGAATCACACATCTTTGAATTTGCAACCGGTCTTTGATTTATCCGAAGGAAAGGTTAAAGAAAGAAAAATATAATTTGCATCATAAACATAATGCGGGGAGATCTAGGGTTCGGGGGTTGGTTATACCTAGGGAAGGTGTTAGCATCCTAAGTATCTGTAGTACTCTACAGGAACCTCTTGTTTTATTTGTGTTATCTGTTATCTGTTAAAGGTTATCTGTTAAAGGGTTGAAAGGAGACCTAAGGGGTTAATTCTAACTATGCTCGCCAAGACATCGCATCTCGTGCCTACGTATCCTGACGGGAATAGAATCAGAGCATTCGTAGTTCCCCTCAACGAGGGTGAGGAACTTCTTGACTGTTTTCAAGGTTCTAATAGGAAGTAAGTGTTCATAGTGAGACACTTATATGGAGTGCGGCGACTCCGAGTCTAAAGTTCGAGTTGAAGGGGTAGGTAAGTAAGTATCCATGGCAGGAACTTACATGGAGTGCGGCGACTCCAATCCTAAGGTTAGGATAAACTGAAGGGATGTCCATGGCAGGACGCTTACAAGGAGTGCAGCAACTACGGTCCTAAGGCTAGGATAAGGTAAGAAAGAAGAGTGTCCATGGAAGGACGTCTAAATGAAGTACGACGACTCCTATCCTAAGACTAGGATAAGAGTAAATTTAGAATTCTGATAATGGAGAAAAGAAATGTTGATAAAGAAAAGGCGGAGATCTCTTTCCAAGTCCATTTCAATAAGAGAGATAAAAAGGCAAGGGAAAAGTGGCCCATGAACAAAGGTTGAGGGAACTTTCATAATTTTGGTTGAAGAGAGTCCCAAAATTCCAATAATTCAACATTCAAAGAATTCAACAATTTTCATAAACCTTGTGGCTCTCTCTCTCTCTCTCTCTCTCTCTCTCTCTCTCTCTCTCTCTCTCACACACACACACACACACACACGCACACGCACACGCACGCGCACACACACACATTAATTATATTATCTAATTAAACTTATTTGTACTATTTAAAAGTATTTAAAAAATTAAACCACATTTATTTCATATTATATCTAGAACAAACATTCACTTAGACTCAAGTGGTAAACGAACTTTTGCTAAGGAATGAAGGTTCAGAGAATACCAAATTCGATGCCTATTGAAAACAATACTTGATCAGTGTCAAAAGCACGAGTTTTGAATTATTTGGGCCGAAAAAAATATAACTAATTTTTAGTTTGTGATGAACTTAGTGGAACAAATACCTAACTATTAATATTTATTTTTTAGACACACACTACCGTACACATTTGGAGATGTGTACTTAATTTCCAATATGAAATGTACCTACCTACTTTGGTGAATAATTTGAAGTATGAAGATTCTGCCAGTAAACACGGTTACCTTTAAACGCGGATTTCTTAATATACGAGTTTTATTTGTTTTTATTTGAAGCTGTATTTCATTCATTTTTTATTTAATTTACTTGTTTTTATTCATCGGTGAATGTGTTTCAGATCAGGTGTCATGCACATTACTTCTCTTGGCAGTTTCTGAATCTAGATTAATCTCTGATCACAGTTTATGGGAAATGGTGATTTGTTTCTTCTGTTTTATTTATTTATTATTTGTGTATTTGTTGTCACAGTGTAAAATTAATGTAATATAGGGTAAAAAAAGGAGATATAATTAATTTTGAAATTATATAATTGATTTGATATATTTGATTGCTCGATTTTCAGAATTAATTATATCTAAATATTGATTTGTATCTTTTTCATTATTCATCTAATATTTTAGAATTAATAATAAAACTTATTATTCAACTCAATTGTAGAATGATTTTTAAAAAATTGTAGAAAGTTATCCAAAAAAAATTATCTTATCTTTAACTCACTAAATAATTTTTATGAAATTAATTCACTCAAAATTAATTTTTTTTCACTACATAATTAAAAACGCGTATGAATTCTTCGTAGTTTTGTCGTTTATCAAATATATTTCTCAAACAATATGAGATTTTAAAATGTAGTTGAACAATAGTATTTAAACAAAACTAAGTGATTAAAAGTTCTATCAGTCATCTTATGTCTCTTAGAACCTCTCCTTTTACAAACAATATTAATGATTCGAAGTGAACCTAAATACAAAAACAAAATATATTTAAAAAGGGTCAGAAGATGATGTCTTCTCACTTCAGGTTTTAATCTAATGAAAATATACTCTTTTCTTTGACGTGTGTCCTTTAATATAGGTGACATGTTAGAAACTGTATATCCAAAAAATATTATGTAATTAAATGATGTTTAACATAAATCACAATCGTTATCCGATTGTTATCGGAGGGTCATAATTAAGCCACATGTTTTAATCCTATATGTCTTTAAATATGGATTAAAATACATATGGGTTAGACGGTGATTCCTAAATTAAGTTGTATGTTAAGGTGTGGAAGAGTATTATTAAGCTTCGAAGGTGGTTCACGTAAGGTGGGGTAAATGGTGATGAGAACATCTCCTCAATTAGTTAGAGATATGTGTGTAAACTTAAGAAGAACGATGGACTTGAAGTTTGTGACATTTGCATAGTAAATCAAGTTGCCCTAAGAAAATGGAGGTGACGTTTGATTTTCTTAGTCCACGAGTATTTGAAAAGATATTTTGATGCTAGCTATGAGATTCAGATTGTCACCTTTTTTAAAGGAGGTAAGGTGATTATGCTTCAGTCTGCGTATCATTGGTGGTGAGGAGTTTCCCTTCTAGATTCTAAATCTATTAACTACTTAGATTTGTTTGTAGATGGTTAAAGGGCAATGTGAGACCGAGTATGCTCACATCATTTTAGAATGACCCTTGGGTATGGCCTACCCTCAAGTTACTTTTGATAGGCTTTTTTTTTCGATTTCTAAGAAAAATAGGAGTAAGGTATGTGATATTGGCACTTGTGAAGATAAGATCATGCTTCATAATTTTTTTTTTGGAGGATACATCTCTTTGACTATAAGCAAGATTTGGTGGATGACCTTATCCTAATCATTTAAAGTGTCACTCTCTTGCTAGAAAGTGATTATTAGTGTTAATCGACGGGGGGGAGAGTAATATCTACATTATCCTCTCTATCTACTACGATCTTTCCGAGTCTCATTATTCTCTTTCTATCTTTTTCTCTAAATTTCTATTTGGTGTAGTTGTGCTCCTTTAAAAGTGGTGATTTATCCATTATAACTTCACCAGAATAATATTTTGACTAGAGAGAACATGTGTATTAGGTAGGTTATTCTAGATCTTGCTGGTCTTTTATGTGAGTTATGTTCCTAGTCTTTAAAGTCATTCTCCCACTTGTTTGTCACTTGTAATATGTCAGCAATTCTGTGGCATAAGATCTTTCTTTCGCTGGTTGGAGAAGATAGTTATCTTACCTAATGATATTTTATTTTTGTTTGATATTTTTTATTTCTTTGGGGTTTTGGTTAGGATCAGAGGTAGTCTTATCATGATTTGATATTTAGAGGTGTGGATCTTATGAAAAAACAATAATAATTTTAACTTTATAGAATCCACGATTAAGAAAGAGGCATTTGAAGATAAATGTATCTCGTTTGTTTGGAAATAATAGTTGGATAAATTGATAAAATATGCTTGTTTTTTTCTCTCTAATTGACTAGTATACCTTATTATTTTTTGTCTATCTAATTTTTTTAAGACGTGGATCTAAGTTGTGAGGTGAAGTTTTTTTAAATGTAGTTTGTTTTTTTTCTGAATTCTAGTTTAGTTCTTTTGATGATAGCTCTTGTTTTTTTAGACATTATATATCTTATTTTGTATTTTTCTCCCACTTTTGACTAGTGGATTTTTAGTGCACTTCTTATGCTATTAACTTTGCATCTTGTACCTTTTGCCTACTCTTTTTATATATAATTATTTGTCATCTACAAATTTTTGGCCTAGGCCAATTCCATAATAGTAAGTAACTAATAATTTTATAATATATCATTCAAATTTAATAATAATTTAACTAAAGCATACATTTCTAGTTAATTTATCTTTTATTAATATTTTTTGGATTTAAACTTTTATTTACGTGAAATGTACCCGAGCATAAACTATTTCACGATAGTTATATTTAGTTAAAATTAGTTTTAGCAAATTAATTACTTTTAAAATTAATTTTTTCCATAGTACAATCCAACACACAAATACATATTATTTTCGCATTTATTTTGATAATTTATATTGTACCAAACTCACCTTAATAGTACTAATAATTATTTGTACTTAGTCAAACTCACTTTATAATATATACTATATAGAACAAATGTTACATAGCTGTGCTACCAACCATAACCCATAATTAAAAGTATAAACCCAATAAATTAATTAAAAATATCTAGATTTCTATTATTTTATATTCCAACTCAATTAGTTACTAGTAAAACTAATATACTATACCCTTTAACTTCTGCTTGAAAATTGTTAGTCTAATTAAGTGTCTAATTAGAATCTAAAATAATACTAATCACTTCCTTAAAGCAACCTCCAAGAAGCTATAATTACAAAAAACAATGAACCCCACCATGTGAAAATCCAAACCACAAAATTGAAAAGACACCCTAATCTCAAAGGACAATTTAGTCAATTCATCCACGCACAGTTTCATAATTATTAATAATTATTACCAACAACATCACATCACAATTATTTTTAAATCCAACCCTCCATTTTCATTATAAGCAATGAGTACGGTTGTTGCTATATATACCAAACTCATTTCTCACCTTTCTCCTCGGTTCAAACTAGATTATAAAAAAAGCGATTAATATGGGAAATAGCTTAAGGTGTTGTTTGGCTTGTGTTCTTCCTTGTGGAGCACTAGATTTGATCCGAATAGTGCATTTGAATGGCTGCGTAGATGAGATTACACATTCAATCACAGCAGGAGAAGTTCTCAAAGCTAACCCTAACCATGTTCTAAGCAAACCAAGCTCTCAAGGCGTTGTTCGCCGGATTTTGATTGTTTCGCCGGAGACCGAGCTCAAGAGAGGCAGCATTTACTTCTTGATCCCGACGACGTCTTTACCGGAGAAGAAACGAAGCGGATCGGTTGTCAATGACTCTAACCTCAACACGAGAACGTCGATGTCTTCGAAGAAAAGAAACAGTAAGTGTAGCAGAGATAAAGATCACGATAAAAGTGGTGATGCTGATAATTTTTACTCATCAACCTCACAGTTACAAAATATGGAGAAGAAATCATCGCGAAGGGATCGCAAGAAAGGTCGTGTTGGAATATGGCAACCTCATTTAGCAAGTATTTCAGAAGATTAGAATAATCTTTTGAATACCCTGGTCAGGTTCAATTATTGAGTTATAGAAAAAGGCTTTTTTTTTTTTTTAAATTTTATTTCTATTGTTTTATAAGTGTTGTGAGTATTTATTTTGTGGATAAAATTATTTTACCTTGCTTTTCGAATACATGTGTTTCGATTTTTGTAGGGTGAATTACATGGGTGAGTTAAATTTTATGAAATCATACTCCTTTTCCTTTGTAGGGAGTATAATAATACCTATTTGTTTCTTTTAAAAGAAAGTGAAGAATTAATAAGTTTGGATCTTCCTTTTCCTTTTCTTTTTCAGTTTGGTGATAAATAAATAAAGGATTAAAATAAATGAGTGATGTCAACTATTTAGATTAGAATTTAATTGAGATATACTAACACACCCTTAGTTGGTAAATATTAAAAAAAATTGATTTTTATTTTAATTATTTTTAAAGTAATACAAATAGACGATAATGATGAATTGACGTATATATTTTTTTATATTGATAATAATTAATCTCTTAAAATTATTAATTCTACGATAAAAATATTATTTTGATTTAATATCATTTTTGATCCTGTATTTTAACTTTGAGATTCATTTTGATCTTTTAACTTTAAAAAGATTTATATTGATCTCTTAACTTTTCAAAATATTTCATATTTATCATTTTTGTCCTATTGACGACAGAAAAATTCAAAAATCAATGACTAGATTTGCCGCTAATTAAACAAAATGACTAATATAAAATATTTTGAAGAATTAAGGAACTAATATAAACTTTTTTAAAATTAAAGAATTAATAATTTTATCTATAAATAAATTGAAGGTAAATTAATTTATGTATAAATAAATTATTTATAGAAGAAATTAAACAAAAAAATTTTATATAAAAATCACATTTAATTTATAAACTACAAATTTTACTTTCGAGTAGAATTAATTTTATTTTAAAAAGAATTAAAAATATCAAAATTATCACGAATTCAATTATATACTTTTAATTTTTTTACTCTGACTAAAGTAAACATAGATGAAAATTTAGGATATGTGATTGAGATTGCATTCTCGTATAGAATAATGATATTTTTATACTAAATTTATACACTATACTGTATTTACTATTTGTTGGTGCATAAGAAGAAAAAAGATGAAGATGGAAGAGAGAGAAGAAAATTGTAACTAATTTTCTATTGAATTGGAATTTATTACAATGTGAATTTTAATTACAAACCGAATTTACCTTTCACTATTTACACAATCAAAGTCAAATGAAATTAAACTAAAATGCAACTAATGTAAATTTGGATTACACATTTCAACACCATTCCTTAATTCACATTCAAGACTAAAATCAATAACACTAATTCCATGAATAAAGTGTTCAATCTTGATTGCTTTGATCAGAACATCTGTCAACTGCATTTGAGTGTTACATGGAACAACTTCAAGCACTTCATTCTGAACCTGACTTCTCAGAAAATGGAACTTCGTATTAATGTGCTTGCTCCTTCCATGCAACACTGAATTCTTGGCAAGACTTATAGATAATTTGTTTCCAATCATTAACTTCACAGGCTTATTCACCTTGATCTTCAGATCCTCTAACAAGTTCAGAATCCACACAGCTTGACAAGCAGTCAAAGCACCTGCAATGTACTCAACTTCACAGGTTGACAATGCAACAATTGGTTGTTTCTTGAAGCACCAATAAATATGATCTCCTAGATACTTGAAGAAATATCCAGAGGTACTCCTTATGTCAACTCTGTCTCCACATCAATCAGAGTCTAAATAACACATCAGCTCTGAATCAAATTTAACATTAGAGGGGAATAAAACTCCATACCTCAGAGTCCACTTAATATACCTTAGTATCTTGACAGTAGTTTGGTAATGTGAGCATTTTGGTTTGTTCACGAACCTACTTACCATTCCAATTGTGTAGCAAATGTTAGGTCTGGTATTACAGAGATATCTCAATGAGCCAACCAACTATTTGAAAATTGTAGCATCCACATCATAACCCTCAACATCATAATCAAACTTAGGATTTATTTCAGCAGGTGTGAATGCTGACTTACAATTTGTTAGCTCAAATCTCTTTAGAAGCTCAAGTTCATACTTCAGTTGATGCAAGATTATACCCTTATCATAATAAATTATCTCCATTCCTAAAATATATGTCATATTTCCTAAATCAGTTATCTCAAACTCATTCATCAGCACTTTCTTGAACTTAGCTATCTCATATGAATAACTTCATGTTAACGTTATGTCATCAATATAGAGACACGCCAAAATCATATTGTTATCAGATGTATACTAAACATAAATATCATACTCCATCTCACATTTTCGGAATCCTTGAAGCTTGAAAAATGAATCAATTTTCAGAGTCCAAGCTCTATGAGCTTGTTTCAGTCCATACAAGGCCATATGTAACTTGTACACTATCCCTTCTTGATTCTTTTTCACAATTCCAGGAGGTTGTGACACATAAACTTCCTCTTGTAATAGACCATTCATAAATGCAGATTTCACATCTAAATGCATCAGAGGCCAATTCCTATCAGTAGCTATAACAATCATTAGTCTGATTGTTTCATATCTAGCTACAGGTGTGAACACTTTAAAGTAATCTAAACCATATTTTTGTAGAAATCCTCTAGCTAATAAGCTTGCTTTGTGTTTGCCAATTGATCCATTTGGCTTTAGTTTCAGCTTGTAAACCCATCTCCCGCTGATGGCTTTCTTGTTCTTTGTAAGCTCAATCAACTCCCAAGTCTTGTTTCTTTATATAGCCTCAATTTCTTCTTTCACGACCTTCAGCCAAACTTTCTTTTTGAGAGCTTCTTCAGTACTCACTAGCTCAGAGTCTACCAATTTGGCCCATTGAACGACTTCCCATTCAGAGTCTATCTCTGTATCTCACAACATGTCAAACTCTGCAAATCTTCTTGGTATTTGTATGATTCTTTATGGTCTCTGAACTTGTTCAAAATCTTTTTCATATGCTGGAACAATATAAGATGTTGGACTACCTTTATAGTCTAGTCCATCTTTAGTGGCATGACCACATTCAAAGGCATGACCACTAAATTTTTTTATCATAATTGGAATATGGATCAAAATTAGATTCACCCTCAGAATCATACCCATCTTCAAATCATTGGCTTAAGTCAAGAAGCTCTGACTTAGAGAATTTGCCACTCACTTTTGAAAAACTTAAAAACTTGAAGCAAAAGCAAGAAAGAAGGGAAAACAAGTGTTGTGTTGTTTTAGGGTGAGTTAAATGTTCATAAGCGATCTCTATTTATAGGTGATCAAGTTTTTTTTTGGAGGAATAGTGAATGGATGAAGGATAAGAGCTCATTCAATGTTTTTCGCAAGATACCATTACTTCCATGCCAAGGTACATTATCACTTCCAAGTAGCATAGCTAACGTTTGACCAATTCCACATTCCTAATATGTTTTTATTGTTTTTTATGCATGAATCTTGACTGAGGAGAGTGGCTTTGTTGAATGTGCACTATTGCACATAAATGCATCTTGAATTCAAGGGATAATGTGACAAAATCCATTAATCCAATGGATGAATCTCTTGACTCTTCGACCTAACTTTGCAGGTTTGTTGTGATTCATCAGATTCTCATTGAATTGGCTTGGCATAATGATCATTGCACTTGACTCCAAAGTCGTGGCTAGCAAGAAGTGACCGAAATTGTCTTGCAAAGCAGTTGCAGCAAGGTGTCTTGCAACCTTCATAGCTCTTTGCTCAAGTGGATTTTTCTCACGCTCTTGGGCTCTTTGGAAATTTGGGATGATGTAATTCAACTTTGGTGTTCATAGTTTTCATTGATTCATCTTGGATCATGGTGAAAAATCCTTCCACAATTTGATGTTTTGACTGATTTTACTTTAGGCATAATTTGCCTAAGTGTTGAAATTAATTTCTTATTTTTTTGATTTTGATCACTTCATAACTTGAAATTCATGAAGTTTTTGGATATGGTTCAGCCTATCAATCTTGTTGTATGTGATGGGATCTATATTTAAGCTTTGAAGTGCAAAAAATGGCTGCTTGAATCACAAGTTATGGCCTTGTAAAGTTAGGTAAAAATCATGTTTTTCCATAACTTGGTGAAATTCTCAATTTCTTCAACTTTGCCGTTTTTGCAAGTAACCTTGATTTGTTTATCAATACTTGTTCAAATGCTACAATGGATCATGTTTTCTTGTATAATGGCTTATGATGAACATTTTTTTCTCAAAAAGTCAAACTTTGACTTTGTGTATCAGATGAATTTTGTGCAGGGAAACCCTAATTCTTGATTTTTGATGAATGAATACCCCAAGGTGATTTTAAACTTATGAATGGACTTCAAGGGTATATTTGAGTGTCTTGAATCATATCCTAAGGTTGGAGATCATATCTTGGTCAAAAGTCAAAGATAGGGTTGACTTTTTATCAAAACCCTAGTTTGTGGCTTAGATGAATTTGAGTTCTTGCATTATTTATGAATCAAGTTATTTGAGTTAATCCAATCATGTGAATGGACCAATATGATGTATTTGAGGTCCTTGAAACATATCTTGAGGTCTTGGATCATGCCTTGCTCCATAAGTCATCTTAGGGATTGATTTAGGTCGAATCCCTGATTTAGTGACACAGATGATCTTGAGGCTTGACCAACTTGAAATGATGTAATCTTGTCCTTGATTCTGAGTGAATGGGATCTTTTTATCCATGGATGATTGAGGGACTTGATAAGTTGAATATCATGCCAATTCTTGATTGATTCTTTGCCCGAATCCTCTGTAGGGCTTAAAAACCCTAATTGGTGATCATAATGAAGCAAACAACAATCTTGACTTTCTAAAATGGGTTAGTGAAAGTGTATGTATGAGATGAAAAATGATGTGGGTATATTAGGGTCAAACATTAGGGTATGCCACTCTTGTTTGGGAACACTATCTTCTTACTTGGCGTATCTTTGTATA